AGGGTACCATACTAAGCATCCATCCTCAGATAGCTTAAGGCTCGTAACGTACGAAAGAAATCACTCCTGATTACTGTATCTTAAACTGCTTTGAGATGAGAAGAGAACAGGCCCAGCTAGGAGGGAGACTATCAAGTCCTACTGTTGTCATGCCATGGATTCATCCTATGGTTGAGGTTTGAACAGGGAACTCCTAGATGTTGTCATGCATAGGTTTCAACCTAAAAGTCTATCATCACATCTTCATCAGAAGAAATGAGAGTCCTAAGGGATCATGTCAATGATACACCAAAACAGACAAAAGCATCAGCTTTAACAGTAAAATGCATGCAATGCAAGTGAGGGAGGAAATGTGTGTGGGGCTTCAGCCTCCACAAGCTCGTCTCGACCTCAAGCCAGTCATGAAATAACAGCAATCATACTGAAGATAAACAACAAGCTGTCAAGCAATGAACAGATAAAAGAAATGAAGTGCCATCAGGCAAACAAAACACAGGCTGGAGAAAGAAAGGATCTACTCTCTAATCCTAACCCTAACACAGAATCTGATCAAATCTAAGCACTAAAGCCAAACCCTAGACAAGAGAAATCAATCCCAGTCTTCAAGCTTCAGAACAAGCTTACCAAAGAAAGGGAGCTAAGTAAGCAGTCTCATAGTGTCTTCCTCAGGAAAGCACTAGGAGGTGTATACTCAGGAATCATATCCTATATGGCTCAACCACTGTGATCAGTTTACGTTCCTCCTCAGGAGAAACTAAACTCACAAGCAGGCTCCAACATCACAGGATATTTAGGAAATCCTATCTGAACTAGTGGAACTAAGTGAATAGACCCATAGGACCTTCCTCAGGAAAGTACTAGGAGGCTTCCACTTAGGAGTTGTATCCTATGTGGCTCAACAACATGTGATCAGTTTACATTCCTCCTCAGGAGAAATTAAACTCACAAGTTGTCTCCAACATCATTGGATACTTAGGAAAGCCTAGACAAACTAAGGGAACTAAGTGAATAGACCCATAGGACCTTCCTCAGGAAAGTACTAGGAGGCCTTCACTTAGGAGTTGTATCCCATGTGGCTCAACAACATGTGATCAGTTTACATTCCTCCTCAGGAGAAATTAAACTCACAAGTTGGCTCCAACATCATTGGATACTTAAGAAAGAGGTGAGAAGAAAGAATGAAAGTCATTCATAGTGCCTTCCTCAGGAAAGTACCATGAACTTCCTTCAAACTTCAGGATCTCAAACCTCACAGGCAGGGAATAATCCAAGCTCTGGGTCTCTGAGTCTTGATCTTCAATCTTCTCTTCATCATGCCCTCCAACAAGATCTTCAAGACAACACAAGCCCCACAACAAATTCCCCAAAAACAACCCCAGAGATGAACAGATAACCACTGAACAGACAGAATCAATAGGCAACTTCAGAAAATACCTAAAAATGCTAAACCAAGGGGGAAAAATCTAACAATCATTCACAAGGGTCTACAACATCTATCCATAACATCCACATAGGCCTCTACCCAAAAATCAAGACAAAACTATTTAAATGAAAATGAATTTCTTTACCTATGCACAACCTAAACCCTAATTAGGATACCCTAATGCTACCCTAATTAAACTAATCAAAATTCAATTCTAAAATTCTAGGATAAATCCTATGGGGAACTATGATTCATCATCTAATTGCACAAAAAATAATGGACTAAAAAGACTAAAGGAAGGTCCTAAAACAATTCTTGCAAAATGAGGTATCAACTAAAAGAAAGAAAATACACTATATTAAAGAAAATACCACTAAAAATTCTACATTAAAAATAAAATTCCATTTTTATTTTTATATTTTTCTACACAAAATTATCTCAACCTAGAAAAAAGAATGGACAAAAAAGAGTTATTTTTCATTTATTTATGAATTTTTAAAGGCAAGAAAAATATTAAAAGAATTAAAAAAAGAATTTAAAACAATTAAAAGGGAGGGGGGTGTGATAAGAATACACGCCAGTTCAATATGAGATGGGCCAGAAATAGAGGGGGTGCGGATAGCGAATTAAGCCCAGAGTGGCTTAAGTGAAACGCAGCGCTTTGAGTCCTTCAAATTTTCCCTCCGTTTCTCATTTCGAATCGTGGCCGTGCGATGAGTCTCCCAGTCAACCAATTGACCATGATCCAAGGGCTATTAGTCTGTCTTCTCCAAATAGATATTAGGGTTTTAGATCTTTGTTTCCATGCATGAAACTTCCCGGCCATCGTGCTCTCTCATCTCTCAACCAAACCTCACGATGTAAGAACCAAACTTGTGCTATACATTCCCAGGAACAAGACTATGCCAATAGTTTCAGCTAACACCTCGTGTATCTCACAAACAGAATGCATGAAGGTCTAGGTTCCAATATATTGCACTGATATCAACCTTGCTGAAACTCAAATTTAATGATCCAATCCTGTTCTTTACACTACCCTAACCATTCTAATCTAACCTATGCTAACTAAAACTTACTACAAGGCTTGTTCATGAAGATTAAAGAATCTAACACCTGCCATGAAACCTCACACAGAGCTCTCAAACTTATGGGAAAAGATCACCTAATCTAGTATATTAATCCTACACCTAAAGAACTACTTGAAAGTGCATAAATTAGGAGAATTATGGAGAGAAACCAACCTGTCAAGTGATGATGGTAGGTGCTCGTGGGAATGGATTCAAGGCTTGTAATGGCTGCAATGAGATCCTCTTGTGATGCACAAATTTCTGTTTGCACTTGTTGTGAAAGAGATGGCTTGTAGATGCAGATTTCTTGAATTGCTTGAACTTGAAGAAAGTGCTTCAATGGCTATTTCTATCTCTCTCTCTCCTCTGAAACTGCTCTCTATCACCAACCCTGAACTCCTTGTGGATCACTCTTTATATAATGATGGATGGAAGGAGCTGGATCCTTCTAGAATCATCTAGAAAAGTGTGGAACTTCTCCTTTAATGAGATTTTGAACAAGCTACATCTCATGCACCAAATCCTTCTTTTAGTGCCAAATTCTCCTTATGAGAGATATTGAGTGGATATGTGTGAAAAACAAGCTCACCTTTGGCTTGTGTAAGGTTTTTCAACATTGCCTTATAATGCAAGTAATAGATTTACAAAGAAAGTCCCTTTTTTAGACCTCAAATGAAAAATCTATTTGAACCAAAGTTCTCAAAATAATGTTTCCAATCAAAATGATATATTGGATGACCTATTTTGGATTCCTAGATCCTCCAAACCAATTTTCAAATTCAACTTTTCAAACTTATATGCCATTTTTAGTTCATTTTTGACCAATCATGTAACTTCATGCTATGAGCTTTTCCAACAATTTGTGGCCTTCTTTCTAGACTTAAAATCACATTTTGAACAACTTTCATGTTTTGAGTTTTTTCATTTGAGGCTTGGAAATAGGAGTTTTAGGCATTGGCTAAAATGACCTATAATTGACAAATGACCAAAATACCCCTGTCTTGTTCAAACCATAAGTTGAGTTCCACAAATCCTATCAAGGACTTCTACCACTCAAATTAAAGCTAAGAAGATTCTCTTCAACATTCATGTTGACCAAGAAGTCATAGGAATCACCCTACTAGGGCAAAAGTTGTCTGCAAGTTGGGTGACTTTCAAGGACCCAGATTCACACACCTCTGCTGACCTGTAATTTGTCAAAACCATAACTTGAGCTTTGTAACTCCTATCAAGGACTTCCACCACTCAAATTAAAGCTTAGAACAAGCTCTACAACATTCATGTTATGGGGAAGGTGAGATATCAATCACAACCTGAGCTAAAACTGCCTGAAAGATAGGGATCAAATTAGGGTTTTTTACTGACAATCCTTGGGGACCCTGACTTGAAACTTCTCAAACTCCTCACTCATGATGAGTTGGCCTAGGAATCATCTTTATATCATCTCTATGCATCATTCCATGATCTCATGGCCCTTGGATTGGGTCTCAACCTTTCCCAAATCTTCAGTTATCCTAGGGTTGACCCAGTCAAAACCCTAATTCTATCATTCATGGTTGAATCTTCTGAACTCTTGCATAATGACTTCTCTGGGCTTCATGGTGGCTATCAAGACATCTCATAGGCTTTTCCCAAAACATCAAGTTCATTCTCAAAGTCTCAGAATCACCTGAGGAGCACCCACAACTCTCAAGCTATGAAGCACACAACCCTGGTTTCAACCCATTCCTCTGAGGATCTCTTGAACTTTCTGATGAAGGTATCCACTTTCAAACACTCAATGAATAAATAATTGTTGGTCAAATTTTGGGGTGCAACACATATATAAAAATAACACATGTATACTTTATTTATTGATGAAGTATAAAGAGTAATCCAAACTCGTGCAAATGAAAGCCATCATCAACTTTAGGAAAAGAAGAGACCAGAAGAAGATCATTATCCTTAGTCGAGTCATTATTTAAGTTACTATTATCGCTATTGATAACATCACTTTCAAAGAGATCTCTCTCAACTAAGTTCTAATCAACACCCCCATTTGCTCGTCTCGCATTATCAATACAATGATTCCCTAGCTGGAGCCCCTCTTTGTGGATTCCTTTTTCCGTCATAACCCCTCCCCTCCGTAAAAGCATTTTGAAGAAGAAAAATGGAATGTTGAAAATGAAAGGAGACAATAGATGTATTATGGCATCGTGGAGGATTTCGAGCTTGCTACATGGATGATGAAAGCTAGACAAAGGTTGCAAAAAAGTAAAAGCAATGAAGATATTGGACATTTTGTCCTAAATATATAGAAGCAAAAGCAAAAGCAAAATCAGAATCAGTTAGGTTTCTCTTGCCAAGTTTTATCATGTATTGTCAGGAGATCAATAGCCTAAATTAACATTTGTGAGCTAAAAATTAAAAAGACGAAGTATTTTGGATCATCCCGATCACATTAACGTAATGTAAAAGATTGAATAGGAATAAAATACTGAGATTGAATAGTTCTTAAGTGATCCCAACAGTTATCCATTTGAAAGATCTATTCGTGCTCCAAATTGATCTATTGCAGACTTGCTTTGTTTTGTACTCCTAAGAATCGAAACCTGGAACATAGAACGATGGAAAATCATTAATTTAAGAAAGTTAGCTGAAAAGATAATCAGATTGGAGGATGTAAAAGCATTGCTTTAAGAAAGTTAGCTGAAAAGATAATCAGGTTGGAGGATGTAAGAGATAAACCAGATGTTGGATAAACCCTACACTAGATATGGAAGCATACACATGCTAAATTAGAAACATCTTTGATAAACCTAAATCACCGTATGATAGTATTTCAAAACTAACTGGAGAACCATGAGATGATTTCTTAATTAGCACCCTTAATGATGATGATATTAACTGTTAAATTTTCATATGATGGAAAATCACAAAGTCGTGATTATGCTACCTTGGGCCGTTCCATAGAGCTTCCAAAATATCCTACTCCAAAAGACAAAGAAGTGTATGCAGCTGCAATTTCTACAGCCCTTAACCTTGATTTTCCTTGATCCTACAGAAAATGAGATTAGGCAATATTCCTAAAAACTATTGATTGGAAAAGTTGAAGAGACTCACTACAATAGATGTATCTGACTGCACAACCAATATCCCTGCACTGCTATCAGTACCGCATCGACCACTTTCTTCGGCAACAGAGCGTAAAATCTTTGTGCAAGCAGAGGCAGCACCGGACTGTGAGCTGAAGGAAAACTAATATCAGAAAAATCTAGTGTGGAGTACTGCTACAGTCAAAGAACAAGCTAATTTGACATCATTGAAAATCATTTATAAGTGAGACGGTCATACATTGACAGTGAAACAGTGCATTCCCTAGCTGCAAATCCTTTCATTAGGTGCTCTCCTGCACCAGACACACAACAGCCAGCCATGAACGGAGCTCCAAACGGACCTTTTGATGACGCCCAACAACCTGAACCATACATTGCCGCTAGCCCCACTCGTCCACTAATCTGTTGAATATTTTGTATATATAATTATGAGTAATAACTTTCCACTCTAATATGGAATTCGGAGCACTAGAAGAAAAGAAAAACATTGTTCACCTTTAGAGCAATACCACCACTAGAGGCTCCAGATGCTACATTCCCCTCATTGTCTACACAAATAACCCCAACGGTATCCATTACTTGATCTTCCAAAGCATAATCTGCATCATGAGAAGGCATGGCTTTGGCATGATAAAAATCATATGGGGTGTCATAGTGATGTAACAGTTTACTTCTTTAGGTCATACTGAATTAGTTTTTACAATAAAAATTAAAATAATAAGTGAGATGTTGATTAGGATTAAGTTGAGTCATTAAATGCCAACTGCGCTCGTTCATCTGACTCATTAGTGCCATATAGACTGTTTGCCACCGCAGCTTTTTGTAATGGGGAGATGACTCATTGGCAGAGATGGGTTCGGAAAGCATAAAGAAGGGTGGCTTCTGGCGGAAGCTTGCTACTAAATACCTGGCATTTCAGTACTCTGAATTGGAGAAGAATTTCCGTCTGGAAAAGAATTCCCCGTCTTCAACCTAGCAGCTTCAAACATAGATTTGTATTTTATCCATTGTGTTTTTGCCTTTTCTGTGACCAGCCACTGTTATGATACTCAAAGTTGTAAGGCCAGAGTGGTATGACTTAATAATAAGTTTCTGTGCAGAATTTAATTCATGAATAAAAATACAACCTCGTTGGCCTCTGTTTTACTAGATGGTAAAACAACATCCTTGGACTTCGCCCATTCACGAGCCCCTTCCCCCACCAAGAAGCTGCAGAGATATGACAGACTCAAATATCATTACAGATTTGTTCGCATGAAGTGAAAAAGATAAAGCACTCTTAAACATCAACTATGGCAGTCAGTTTCATGGTAACAAAAATACTTTGGCTACAAAAACAGAAAGGTTGAGTAGTCGTTACATTGGAGGAATTCGACCCAGCAATGAAGGTCCCATCATTTGCTCTTTGGCCAATAAAGCGGCGATTTGTATAGCATTTCGCACACCTGGTCTATAATTAATGAAATAAATACATATAAACCTGACAGCAAATATGAAATGTGAAACCAAATTCCAAAGTGAAAGCAATAGACCATCCCCGGGATTTTAGATTTCCATGGTAAGTAAAAATTGAAAAACGAAACATGGTGACGTAGTGGAAAAGAATTCGATAATAATCAATGTAGTCAAGCACGAGATCTTTAAGTAGGATTGATCGGAATGTGAAAGATCGTAAAACTTAGATCGTTAGCACGGCAATAAGATCCTACTGAAGGGCAAAATGGTAATTTCACATATACACACATACACAAAATAACCTATAAATCACAACATTGAACCAGTTTAATTAATAACACAACCATCATTCCATAACTTAAGAAGTTCAAAAGACATAATCATTGTCTTCAAAAGACTAAGTTCAAAATAAGTAGCTCAAAATGGAATGGGGAAGATTAACAACCGTTTATGTTTTAGAGTTAGGAGGGAGCTAACCTAATTGAAAAAAAAGAACCGAGTTTCAACTTTAAAAAAAAAAAGACTCTTTAGACAACCCAAAATAAAAAGGCTCAACTCGTTTTTTTTTACAATCTTGCTTTAAAAAGCTCAATCTTGACCACACCGGTGATGAAAAAAGATCTTTCTCCGGTCGTAGCACTATTAGGCAACCTCAACAAGTAAGATTGCAAGATCTTAAGATCCAGCACTTGATCTTGACTACACTAATAATGGCATTCATATACACTTTCATTTGCCAGCTACTAACTCAACCAATTTAGTACCATTCACAAATTAGCATGAAAAAGCTTAAAATACAAGGTCAGCGCCATGCTCCATAGCTCAAGACTTTATCAGATTATGTAATGTCAACTTAAGGTAAGTACCTGGCACAGCTCCAACAGCCCCAAAAGCTCCGGATTTTCCATCCATTATACTGGCATCACACTCTACACTGCCATTTTCTGTCAAGTTGGAACCTCTGCCTGCATTTGTGCTCGGATCATCCTTCAACAAAAGGACCTCACGTTAAACTATTATTACAGCACAAAATCAATCAACGTTCACCAAAACATCATCATCATAACCATCTTAATCCTAATGAAGTTTAATTTCTATATACTCGCATTATAAACTGTTTTAAAACTAACAACAATTAACAATTTGTTCAAATTCCGCTTCAGTAACCTAAAATGAAAAATTATGTAGAGTGAAAGTGAATTGATAAGATACCTCCAAGAGTTGAATTGCGGCGACAACGGCGTCCAAGCAGAGAACTGAGCCCTCCTGTTGAAGGACGGAAGCGGCGGCGAGGCAAGCGCGGTTCATGGCTGATCTGAGGGGTTTATGATTGGAAGGAGAGTGGTAACCGGCGCCTACGTGGACGGCAACGAAGAATCTTTTTCCGTCTTTACTCTCACCGCCGGTGACGGTGACACCGGCAATACCATCCGTTTCCATTGCAATTGCAGTTTGTTTCCTTGCTGCCCTACTTCCCTCTTTCCCGCAGTTTGGCGGCCAATTTTTTCTATTTCAATAAAATATTCAATTTGGTAGAGAAATTCGATTTTAAAATGATTTCTAAATTTAAATACATATAAAGAAAATTATTTATTAATACCGGCTAAAAATTGGACACGATAGTATTTATCTTTTTGTGTTAATATTTTATTAATTTGATTATATTAATTATAATTTTTTTAAGTTTATTAACAAATAGTATATCCGAACAATTTTTTTTTAGTATTTTGTGTCGAAGTTGTCGAGAGGTTGAAGATAGCATCACAATACACTTTTTGATTCATTAGAGAGAATATTTATAAAGTTAACATTATAACATTTAAGTAAGTATATAAAGGATGTTGGGTTCTCACGGGTTTAAAATCATCAAATTAGATTTTAAACACTCACTTTAAAATAGATTGGACATTATATATTAACTTAAAATTGTAAGGTATTAGATTTATGAGTTTTCTTACTTATAAAGTATTTAACATCTGTTTTTTCATCTAATGTGAAACTCACACTTGATATACTAACAATCTTCCCCTAAAATATGAGTCCAACCATTCTTACGAATATTCTCTCCTTCAAATGAAAGCTTTTTCATCTATATCTAATTGCACCGCTCTTGGATGGTCTCAATAGAACACACCTGCCAAAAAGACTTTTGATACAAGGATCCTTAGTCAAAATAGGCTTTGATACTACACTTGAAAAATTATCAAATAATCAAAATATTTTCAAGCGGAATATTTTCTCAAAGTTGTGCAATTTAAACAGATATCCAGCAAAATCAATTCCAAAGCAGAGTAATAATAACAGAAAAATAAATAACAGAGACACCAAATTTTTAACGTGAAAAATTTCTTTCAAAGTGAGAAAATAAAAACCATGGGACCTACTCCAATAAAACCTTCAACTATATAAATAATGTATACAAAAGTCTTGTTAATAACACTAGAAAATTAGTAATCTTCACCAATACAGAATAATGTTTAAAAAAAATTCACTCCAAACAACATCTCCACAAAATGTGAGTATACAAATAAGTTTCTAAGAGAAGGTAAAACTATTTAACACATATAAAAGTAACTAAGTGATTGGAACAACACACCGAATGTGTAGCTCAAACTGATAAAACTTGCTACACACGCATCTATCACTTGTGTCTGTTAGAACACAGATTGGTTCTTAATAATATCTCTATGTTTTGATGATAACTATTATGAAATTTTGTATTTAAGAATTATATACTCTAAAATTTGCTTGAGAATTTTTACTGCAGATAGTAAAGGAATTAACAGTCCAGAAGCAAATCAAAATTGAACACAAGAAATTAGCTAGACTTTGTAGCGCCAGATGCATACATTAGAAGATTCTGATTGCTGCCAACAGAAGATTCTGAGCGTAGCCTCCAGAAGATTCTGAAGCAGAAGTTCCAGAAGGATCTGAAGCAGTAGCTCCAGAAGGATCTGAAGCAGAAGCTCCAGAAGAATCTGAAGCAAGTCAGAAGCATCTGAAGCAAAGAAGAATTTTGTATGAAGAGTTTTTCAAAGCATAGTTTCTACAGAAGATTCTGAAAGTACTAAAGCTGCCAGTACTGAAGTTATGTCTCAAATATGCTCTGATATTAAACACGCTGAAAGCACACCTGCTGCAGAAGACTCTGATTCAGCAAGACTCTGATCATCATTAGAAGACTCTGACCCAATTAGACTCTGATGAACTTGCTGAAAGCTGAAGAGGTAATATTCAAAGAATATATCCGTTGGAGTGAACCAAACGTCTCTTTCATTATTTATGCTAGACACAAGAACACAGACAAAAAGGATTTTTTCTGTGCTTTCTACTTCTAGGAAAGGTCACTTGATGTGAAGACAAAAAGGCTCAGACCTTTTGGACACTCTTCTCAACGTGAAGCTCACCTTGGATCAGCTGCCTATAAAAGCAAGACTTCACCAAATTCTTCAGTTGACGTTGGTATTGAAAATAAATCAAATATTCAAGCTCTCATACTTTCATATTCATTCTTAGAATTTATTTCATTGTTCTTAAACTTAAGAGAAATATCATAGTTGTGATAATAGCTTTTTAGAAGCATTCTTACTCTTGTAATAGTTTTACATTGATTGTAAAAGGTTTCCTTAAGAGGATCCAGTTGGGATCAGTAGCTCTTGAGAAGACTAAGAATAGTTGTTCTTAGGTGTTACTATTGTAATCTGTTTGATTAAATAGTGGATTAAGTCCTTGATTGAGAAAGGCAAATCACTCTAGGAAGGGTGGACTGGAGTAGTTGAGTTCAACGAACCAGGATAAAAATACTTGAGTTTTTATTCTAAGTTTTAATCTTTCATACTTGTTTAACCCCCCTTTCTAAGTATTATCTCACCTTCAGTTGGCATCAGAGCTCCGGTTTTGTGTGTGCTACCACTTAACAGTGACAGTAAAGATCTAGAGAGAAATACTTTGATATATATTTGGTTGTTACTATGGCTGATAATACAATATCTAACATTAACAACAAATATGAAGAAAGGGACAGAATCAGCACCAAACCCCCTATGTTTGATGGGGAGAAATTTGACTATTGGAAAGACAGAATTGAAAGTTTTTTCCTTGGATATGATGCTGATTTATGGGATCTGGTTATAGATGGATATGTTCATCCCACAGATGGGAATAGCAAGAAGATAGACAGAAAATCTATGACAGATGCTCAGAAGAAAGAATTTAGAAATCATCACAAGGCCAGAACAATATTGTTGAATGCAATATATCATACTGAGTATGAAAAAATTACAAACAGGGAAACTGCATTTGACATGTTTGAATCCTTAAAAATGACTCATGAGGGAAACTCTCAAGTCAAGGAAACAAAGGCTCTGGCTCTGATCCAGAAGTATGAAGCCTTCAAGATGGAAGACTCTGAATCTGTTGAAGCTATATTCTCCAGATTTCAGATCCTCACAGCTGGTCTAAAGGTTCTGGACAAGGGATACTCCATATCAGATCATGTAAAGAAAATCATCAGAAGTCTACCTACCAGATGGAGACCAATGGTGACTGTCTTGAAGATGGCTAAAGATCTGAACAAGATCTCTTTATAAGAACTCATCAGCTCACTAAGGAGCCATGAAATTGAGCTTGAGGAAGATGAACCTCAGAAGAAAGAGAAAGGTAAATCTATTGCCTTAAAATCTAATAAATCTGCTAAAGCTTTGCAGGTTATTGAAGAAAGTTCTGAAGAATCTTCTTCTGAAGAAGAAGATGAATTATCCATGTTGTCCAGAAGGATCAACAGACTCTGGAAGCACAAGGGAAAGAAGTTCAACAACTTCAGAAAATCTGATCATAGAAAGGAATCTTCTGGGCACAGAAGATCTGGCAAGAAAGAAGTTGTATGCTATGAGGGCAAAGAACCTGGACATTACAAGAATGATTGCCCCAAACTTCAAAGAGAAAAACCCAAGAAGAAGTTTAACAAAAAGAAGAAGGTTTTGATGGCAACATGGGATGACTCAGAGGAATCTGAATCATCTTCTGAATCAGAAGAAGAATGTGCTAATGTTGCACTGATGGCCAGCACAGAAGATCAGGAGGAAGGAACTTCAGGATATGAATCTGATTCTGAATCTGACTCTGACGCTGAAAAGGTAATGGCTAAACTTACTAAAGAAGAACTTATCAAAGTGTTATCAGAACTTCTGAAAAGTTATAACAATATTAAGCTAAAATACAAGAAGCTGAAAAGCAATCTTGAATCTGAGATTAATCTTCTGAAGACAGAACTTGTTGAACAAAAAGAAATTAATCTGAAAATCAAAAATAACTTTGAAATAGCTCAACAAGAATCTGAATCTGAGACTAAGTCATGTGAAAACATTTTAGAAAAATATGACTCTAGCTTTCAGAGATTCCTTACTAAGAGCATAGACAGAAGCAAGATGGCTTCCATGATCTATGGTGTTAATGGGAACAACAGAAGAGGTATTGGATATGAATCTTCCTCTGGAAGTAATCCAAAATCTGTTGACAAACTCTTCATCAAGAAGACACTTTTGTACTCTCAATTTAAGTTTGGTCACTTAAATGACATTAAACACACAAGCTCTGAGAAGAATACTTATGTGTTTAAACCCAAGGCAAGTCAGAATAAACCTTATGTTGAAAAACAGAAGTTTAGACAAACCTTAAGAACCACTAACCCTAAAGGACCCAAGAAGATCTGGGTACCTAAAAGTAAAATAATTCCTGTTGCAGATGTTCTTAGCAGCAAGGTCAGGACGCCAATCATGGTACCTGGACTCTGGATGCTCACGACACATGACAGGAGAAAAGTCTATGTTCCAAAGCCTAGAACTTAGATCTGGAGGTGACATGAAGTTTGAAGGGAACCAGAAAGGCAAGATCATTGGATATGGCACTATTGGAAATGAACTCCACAACAAAATGGGGTTGTAGAGAGGAAAAACAGAACTCTGCAAGAAATGGCCAGAACCATGATCAATGAAACAAATCTGGCAAAACACTTTTGGGCAGAAGCAATCAACACAGCTTGTTACATTCAGAACAGAGTGTCTATAAGACCTCTTCTGGAGAAGACTCCATATGAACTGTGGAAGAACAGAAAGCCCAACATTTCATATTTTCATCCTTTTGGATGTATTTGCTATATGTTAAATACTAAGGAAAATCTGAACAAGTTTGATTCCAAAGCACATAAGTGTTTAATGCTTGGATATTCTGAACGCTCTAAAGGCTACAGAGTATACAACACTAAGACACAGATTGTGGAAGAATCTATTCATGTCAGATTTGATGATAAGCTTGGCAATAAAAAGCCAAAGCATTCTGAAAACTCTGCAGATAAAGAAGTAGTCTTCACAGACTCTGAAGTCCCAGAAGCAGACAAGGCTCAAGTGAAGGATCCAGAAGCAACGTCAGATGCTATTCCTTTA